CTTTTGTTTTAAATTGTAATAATATTTCAAAATATTACTGTTTTTATCTCTATTTTTGTCCAAATAAATGCAGCCTTGATGAGCAAAAGATTCTTCTTTAAAAACATTAAAAATCTTGTTTATCCCAAACTTTTGAACGCTATAGAAATGGTCATGGTTGACTGGTGGAGCATTCTACAGTTTTTACTATTTCTGTTATGTTTTTGATGCCGTTTTGTTAATTTGATTGATCATTTTTATATATAAATTATAAAATACTATTATAAATAATATTATAAAATAATTTAAATATAATATTTAAATATATTTTAAAAAATATGTTTTAAGAATTTTTAATAACTTAAGATTTATATATTTAAAAATGTTAATATAAATTTGAGTGGTATTTGTGGTCAGGCATAAAAAATTTACTTATTTCGGCACAAATATATATTTGCTAACACTTGCTTACACTTATGCTTGCTTCACTTGCTTACAAACCATCGTAATGCTTGATTTCCGAGTGATTTTTTTTTTGAGTCAGTTCATTTAAATCAGTCAAACGGGTTCCCAAATGATCTGAATAATTCATTAGCGATTTGGTGAAAGTGATTTATTAAATCCTTATCTAGTAAACCACAGTCTACTGGAAATGTCATGGAAATTCATCGCTCAAAAAAAAAAGAAAAAGTGGAAACTCTGAGTCTAAATGGACTGATTTGCTAAATGAATTAGACTTCTGAATACTACGGTCTATTATTCCATAAATTTGACTCATTATTAGATACAGTACATGGTATATTTTGTCCAAGAGAGACAATACATATAATAATGTCTCTCCACATGAGAGGACAGGTGGAGGACAGGTTGGCCCTGCTTTAGCACTTAATGGCCGTCCAATACGACTGTCTCAATGTCCCTGCCATAATTAATGAGAGGTCGAACGAGAATGTCACACTGGACACAGCTACTTTCTCCTTCACCGTTTGTTTTAACTCGCACCATCCGTTGTCCTCATGTTCAAAAGAGAATTGGCCAAAAACACTTTGTCTTTGTGAACTTTGTGTTCACACTTTCTTCTTTTAAACTCATGTGATCACACACAATAAAACAAAGGAGAATACGGATATATCGCGCAGACGATAGACCTCAGCGTGATACTGTGACAGTCTCTTTCATCTCGCAGATTCTCATTTCCCGACGCGATTTTTGTCTCGGGAGCAACAAAGATTTGTTGTGCTCTGTAGTGGTATTGACCTGTATAAAGTGCAGAATGTAAAGACAGCTGTGTTGATACGAGTCTGTGGGGAGAGAGAGAAATAATCTTCTGGGATTGCAGGCTTTTGTTTTACTCTGGGGAACATTTCCTTTTTGAACATAGACGGATCGCAGTTATTGTCAAGAGGATTCAGGTGCCTTTTGTTTGGAGTGAAAAAAAATCGTTGAAAGCTTAAGCGGCCGATGAAAACTGTTTGAAAGCACCTTGTCTTAAAGATGGAGGTTAAAAGCGAAATCAGCAGAGCTTGTTTGATCAAGCTTTGATGGCACAACACAATAAAAACATGTTCTTAGGAACTCTTTGTTTTTTTAATAATAATATTGGCCCAAAATAAATGAAATGTATCTGGCCTCAAAACATATTTGGACACTTCAGACACATGAATTAATGTTTTGTATTGTATAACAAAACCAAATGGCTTATCGGCAGCATTCTCATGTGAAGGTTTCTTAAGGGATATGATTGTTTGTGTTTGCTTTTCAAACCATGAAAGCAGTTTGAAAGCACCTTTTCTTAAAGGTGGAGGTTAAAAGCAAAATCATCAGAGTTTGTTTGATCAAACTTGATGCCACAATACAATAAAAGCATGTTCCGAATTTTTAAAAATAAATAAAATCTATTCACAGTGGACTCAAAATGTCTTTGGAGACTTACGACCAGTGTTGGGGGTAATATATTACAAGTAACGCAAGTTACGTAATCAGATTACTTTTTTCAAGTAACTAGTAAAGTAACGCATTACTTTCCATAAAAAGTAACTAAGTACCGTAATTCGTTACTTTTTTATGGAGTAACGCAATATTGTAATGCATTACTTTTAAAAGTAACTTTCCCCAACACTGCTTACGACACAGTTAAAATGTATAAATGTCCGGCATTGTATAACAAAAGAAGTACTTCAAGTAAAACATTTCACAAAAATACTTTTGTTAGTAATAAAACGATATATTGTTAACAAGTATTTGGACCATTTCTGGTTGTCCGACGTTGATTCATATGAAGTTTGCTTGACAAATGCGATTGTTTTGTCCGCTCTACAGGTCAGCGTCTGTTTGGCGAGAGCATCCTGGGTTTGACGCAGGGCTCCGTGTCTGATCTGCTGGCCCGGCCCAAGCCCTGGCACAAGCTCAGTCTGAAGGGTCGAGAGCCGTTCGTACGCATGCAGCTGTGGCTGAGCGACCCGCAGAACGTGGAGAAGCTCATGGACATGAAGCGGATGGAAAAGAAAGGTAATCTCCTTCCTTTAAAGGCATCCGTCTGGCCGCACACCAACAAACACCTGTTTGCAATTGTCTGTGTTGTTTCAGAATGTTTTTATTTCAGTGTTTATTAAAGTGCTTCACAGTTTGTTCAGTGTCGGCTTAGTTGGCAGGTCTTTTTAGGACGTTTAAAAGACGGCTGTCTGGTGTGGAATTTTATTCGTTTTTTGTTGATTTTTTTTCACTTGACGATGAGAGTTGTGTTGCAGCAGTTTGCCTGGACCGTAGTGCTGATTTGGGTTGCGTTTCCAGTTTCCTTTCGACCGCTTTTTTCACTAACAAAATGCTGGTGCTGATTCTAGAGCGGTTCCATGTAAAGAAAAAGCGGCTCAAGGACGGATTTATTGGTTTTAGCCACTTTAAACCTGCTAGTTTCAAACCAGGAACTGCTAACGTCAGTATCCAGGGTGCAGGATAATGTCCTCACCACATTTTGTTTTCAAAACCTCAATCCAGCCACATTCACACAAAACTAGATGGTGCTTTTTTGACTATTTTTGTTGTTCTGCAAAACTATTTCAGCCACTGTAAAATCTTATATAATGTGTTTTTTTTTCAGGATGTTTTTTGTAAAGTGATTGATGTATTATATTCAAACAGCATCTGCCAATTCCATCATAGTTTTGGTTAATCAGATCAGATTTTGTGTCATAAAGACACTAATTTACACTTCAAAAGTTTGGGGTTGGTTTTTGAAAGAAATCTAATGTTCACCAAGGTTGCATTTATTTTATCAAAAATACAGTAAGGTACAGTAATATTGTAAATTATTATTATTATTATTGTAATTTAAAATAACTGATTTATTTTTTTAATATATTAAAATGTAATTGATTCCTGTGATGGTAAAGCTGAATTTTCATCATCATTACTCCAGTCTTCAGTGTCACATGATCTTTCAGAAATCATTACACTATGCTGATTTTGTGCTTAAGAACAATTTTTCATTATTATCATTGTTGAAAACAGTTGTACTGCTTAATATTTTTGTGGAAACTGTGATTTGTTTTTTCAGGATTCAGAGATTTTTTTTGATGATTAAAGTTCAAAAGTACATAGTTTTAAAATATAAATCTCAATGAACAAAAATACTTAAAAAATAAAACATTCTTTATAAACATTATAAACTCTTTACTGTCACTTTCGATCCATGAATGCATCCTTGCTGAATAAACAACGTAATAATTTGAATTTAAATATGAATGAGTTTACTCATTTTCGAAGCTACAAGTAAAATTTGTAAACGAAAGCTTAATCTGTCTTAAATTTTTCCAGTAACAGAAAAAAAGCTCAACAATTGTGTATTTTCATGCACAGCCATCGCAGATCGTCAGTACCTTGGTCATGTGTCCATATTTACATGCAGCACCTGCTAATTATCACCAACTGTGCGATTGTGTTTATCCAGTATTGATTCCAGCCGGCGCAGGAGTTGCAGAAAACAATCTTTAAGCTGACTCTCGTCAGCGTTGCCTCTCTTTAATGTGAAGAGATGCGCGAGATGCCGGAAACGAGGCGGTCCGGCGGAGGGAGGCCTGATGGGCTGTTTGATTGCTCTTTTTTTCCCCTCTTTAATAGCCCAGATGTGTCCTCTGGCTGCCGAATAGGCCGCACATGCTCTGTGAGGCTGCTCGTCGCTCCGCTGTCTGGATTGATGAGGGTGGGAGATGTCATTTCTGTGATCGGCTGTGACAGGCTGACGGCTCTGTGGGGCTGGCTTACTTAAAGTCCACTGCACCCAGTGCCGGGCCCGTACGCCTGCGAGCTTGCAGCAGGCCAAGTGAACATTCCTGGAGTCATTAGGCCTGTTTAACACTCCTCTCGGGCTAAAAGTGACATTACTGGTGCTCCCTGGGTGACGATGACGATGATGGTTTTGTTGTGAGTCAGGCTTTGCGGTTCGTGTGCGCGCGGAGCGGGCGAAACTCGTGGGGACCTCCTCATTAGAGTGAAACTGGCTCCACCATTTACCCCTAAAGCTCACTGTGCACTTGCCAGGGACGGAAAGCAACAGCTTTACTGTCGTGTTCTCTCTCTCTGTTTTTGTCTCTCTCCACCTCGCTGTCTTTTGCTCGAGCTTTTCAGAAAAGAGTATGAATTTGACCTCGACGCTGGCTAGAGGCACAAAGCAAATTAGACTTGCTTGGCCCTTGTTCTGAGAGTTTTGGCCACCAGCGGAATCTTTTACCATTGCTGTTGCCAAAGGCTCCTCTTCAGCAGACACTGAAACGCAGCGTAAATGACAAATTTTACACGCAGCTGTGTAGTGAGCTTTTTTAATCAGAAAAAGGATATTAATGTGCTTGCTCTCTGTTTGTGTTCATGTAAGAAAAAATAGAAAGACATTATACTGATAACTCAATGTTATTGTTACTGGAATTTGTTTTCATTAAACTGTAAGTTGTTCGTAGGAGAAGGAATTCCAGGCGTTTTGAGAATATTTGGGCCTAGTTGGGCCAGGAATTCAGATTTGCACTTTCCTGCCAGTATTTTTTAATAGCACTGATACTTTTATTTGTAATATTGTTAAATATAATTCCAATTTAAAATAACTGTTTCTTATATTAATGTATCTTAAAAGGTAATTTAATCCTGTGACGCAAAGCTGAATTTTCTGCAGCCATTACTCCAGTCTTCAGTGTCACATGATCCTTCAGAAATTATTATAATATGCTGATTTGGTGCTCAAGAAACATGTATTATTATTATTATCAATGCTGAATGCAGCTTAATATTTTTGTGGAAACAGATAAATTTTCTCAGGATTCTTTTATGAATGTAAAGTTCAAAAGAACAGCATTTATTTGAAAAATTAGTCTTTAGTTACGTTGTCTTAAATGTCTTTACTGTCACTTTTGATCAAATTTATGTGCCCTTGTTAAACAAAAACAAATAATTGTTTCTAATTCTTAATAGTACAATATCTGGAATTTTTACACCTACAGTATAACTTTGACAGCTATTTACATTATAAATACATTTATAAGAAAATTATGACATGATGCAAAACGTTACTGCTTTGTGTGTCATTTTCAACCCATTTTCACTGACAGTCACTAGAAAAAAATGTCATCCCATCATGTTATGAAGATTCATTGCTTTATTTGAATTAGCATAATTTGCTAAACAGCAATGCTCGAAACAGAAACCGAATGTACAACAAATACAAAAACGTTGAAAGCTCTCAAATAATCAGGTAATTTTATAGTTTAGCCCTGGTGAATCTCCCTTTTGTTTGTTGGTTTTTTTTAATAATTCTTTTTTAATTATTACTTTTGTAATGCTGATGTATGAGTCAAACTTACAAAGACCTCAAGATGCAATAATAATATTTGTAATCAAAGACCGCCCCCTACTGACTAGAGAAAAATACAGCAATCATGCATTTTATTAACTGTAATTTAATCTACAGCATCTAACACGTGCTGTTCAGTAGGACGGTAACCAACATAGACATTGCCCCCAATATTAAAAGCATTGGCCAATCAATACGGGCCAGTACTTTTATTTCCTGTTCAGTGAATCATGTGAAGCATATTTCCCAGAACACATTTGCTTATTTGTATGTATATTCTCTGATTGTATTTACAGCTGTTCTCCATATGTGTTTTCCAGCCTACATGAAGAGGCGCCACAGCTCCATCGGTGAGAGTCATTCGCTGGAGACTGGTCTGTCAGGAAGTGATCTCACTCAGGGCGCCAGCCCCCAAAACCTCTCCCAGCAGCAGCAGCAGCAGCAGCAGCCCCAGCTGAAGAAACCCCGTGTGGTGCTGGCTCCAGAAGAGAAGGAAGCTCTGAAGAGAGCCTACCAACAGAAGCCTTACCCCTCCCCTAAAACCATCGAGGAGTTAGCGAGCCAGCTCAACCTTAAAACCAGCACGGTCATCAACTGGTTCCACAACTACAGGTACTGAGACGCTTTAACCCTTAAAGTTACTCACACTGGTGTGTTGCGACTTTAATGTTGGATTCAATATAGTTAGAACTGCATCATCTTTAATTTCAAGTCCCGTTTGTAAAGCCTGCTTTAAACTGTGTTTAGTTTAAAAACTAATCCGCAGTGATGAAGCAAACAAGCAAACAGTGTCTTACTGACGCAATCTGGAACTTCGTTTACTTCGTTTATTACATGTGCAAATTGGTGGACGGGGCTAAAGGGGCCTTGATGTAGAAGTAGGTGTTGATCTGCAGAGGTAGTGTTTTGACGTCACTGACGTCATACTGAGATGAAATACGAAATGAACCATTTGGGCTACTTGGTTGCAATAAAACCATTGTCTATTGTTGTTGCCTTCTTCAGTAGTTTGTTATTCGTGTTCTGTCTCCTTCGTTTCTTTTCTGACTGTGAACCAATGAGCCAGGCCAGTGTTGCCACCTTGTGGACAAACTTATTCACATTATAAGGTGCTGAGGAACTCGCCCTCAGCTTCTTTGTCTTTCTGTGTTAGAAAAATTGGGCTACATGCTTACAGTACACACGTACCGTGCTGATGAAGAAATTAGGCTCTACCCTAACGTACGCGTAAAACCCAAGTATACTTTGGGCTTTAGCTTAAGTGATAGTTCACCAAAAATGAAAGTTCTGTCATTAATTACTCACTCTCATGTCATTCCAAACCCTTAAGACCTTTGTTTATTTTCAGAACACAAATTAAGATATTTTTTAATATATAATTAATAATAATATAATTATTCTTTCTGACCCTGCATAGACAGCAATGGAACTACCACGTTCAGGGCCCAGAAAGGTAGTAAGGACATCATTAAAATAGTCCATGTGACATCAGTGGTTCAATCGCAATGTCACGAAAGTCTTGAATAAAGTCGTTATTTTTGTTTTCTTTATGCACAAAAAGTATTCCCGTAAATTCATAACATTGTGATTGAACCACTGATGTCACATGGACTATTTTAATGATGTCCTTGCTACCTTTCTGGGCCTTGAACGTGTCAGTTGCATTGCTGTCTATGCAGGGTCAGAACACTCTGAACGAAGGTCTTACGGGTTTGGAACAACATGAGGGTGAGTAATTAATGACAGAATTTTCATTTTTGGGTGAACTATCTCTTTACACATCCAGCTGCCTTTGTTCCTTTTCTTACAAATCTTGTTCGTTGTTCCCACAGATCCCGTATCCGGCGAGAGCTCTTTATTGAAGAGATCCAGGCGGCGGCCGGCGAAGGTGGGTCCCCTTCGGCGCGGCCCGGGAAGTCTGGGGGCGAGGGAGACAACAGCTGCGACGGCACCGAGTCTGACAGCACCGCGGAGGGCCGACCGAGCGGCTCCGAGGAGCACAAGGGCTTCCTGGAGAGCCCCAGCCTCAGCCACAGAGATGAAGAGGGCGAGGGCGAGGCCGAGTTCCCCAGCGCCTCGGGCACCAGCAGGCCACGAGGAGGCATCATAGACAGCCTATTCGGCATCCCCGAGTCCATATCGGCCGTTTCTTTATGCACAAAAAGTATTCCCGTAAATTCATAACATTGTGATTGAACCACTGATGTCACATGGACTATTTTAATGATGTCCTTGCTACCTTTCTGGGCCTTGAACGTGTCAGTTGCATTGCTGTCTATGCAGGGTCAGAACACTCTGAACGAAGGTCTTACGGGTTTGGAACAACATGAGGGTGAGTAATTAATGACAGAATTTTCATTTTTGGGTGAACTATCTCTTTACACATCCAGCTGCCTTTGTTCCTTTTCTTACAAATCTTGTTCGTTGTTCCCACAGATCCCGTATCCGGCGAGAGCTCTTTATTGAAGAGATCCAGGCGGCGGCCGGCGAAGGTGGGTCCCCTTCGGCGCGGCCCGGGAAGTCTGGGGGCGAGGGAGACAACAGCTGCGACGGCACCGAGTCTGACAGCACCGCGGAGGGCCGACCGAGCGGCTCCGAGGAGCACAAGGGCTTCCTGGAGAGCCCCAGCCTCAGCCACAGAGATGAAGAGGGCGAGGGCGAGGCCGAGTTCCCCAGCGCCTCGGGCACCAGCAGGCCACGAGGAGGCATCATAGACAGCCTATTCGGCATCCCCGAGTCCATATCGGCCGCCGCGCCCCCCTGCCGAAACCCAAAGGACAGCAGTCTGCGCAAGAAGAAAGCAGCCAACCTCAACAACATCATCCACAGGCTGGAGAAAGCGGCAAACCGCGACGAGCCTCACGAATGGGAGTTCTGAGGCGCCGCCATGTTGTTGTCGTTTTATTCTCACTTTGTCCCTCACTGAGCTAACCCGACCAAGCCTGGTGCACACACAACTCTGATTAACCCAAGGGTTTTCGATTCGCTGTTTAGAAGTGGGCTATCAGAGACAAGAACAAGAAAAGGAAACAAGTTTTTAGTCTGTTTATTTTGTGAAGCACTTAATGGCCCTGCTGGCCACAGGGCTGTGACACCATTGGCTAATGGTGAAGACACAAAATTGAAAAGCACAGGAGAAGGAGCGTTCCCACGAAATATTCTCAAGACTGGCGACAGTCGCAAAAAAACTAAAACACATTATGATATCACAGTGTCTCTATTTCTAATGGAGACATTCTCACCAACAAGCTGAATAACTGTTACAATAATTTATCAGTTCTCAAGAGTCTTGGGAGTTTCCTCTTTTGTATCATGTATGCTTTGGCTGTCAGCAGAGACTAGTTCGAACCGGTTTCAAACCAAAAGTCAAGCATTTAAAAGCAAGTGTTGGCTGAAGGAACACAGGTGCACCGTCCCCCCTGCCTCTCCCTCCCTACCCCAGAGGAGGCCATCCAATGGCTATGCAACTCTAGTACGCAATGGATTCCAGCGTAATGGAACCCGCATTATTTTCACAGTTCTGAAGCTTCTCCGATGCGAGAAGAAAATCCTTTTTATAGCAATTAAGTTGCCACCGAGAGATTGCACAGTCAGTTGACTCTAAACAGCACTCCTTTTGATTTTACACGCCAACGGCCTAAAAGAGAAAAAAAAATATTGCGAACGAAAAATTATCATCGTAAATAAGAATCCACGATCACGCTAAAATTCATACTGTTGTTGTAAGGTCGACGCAAATGGGAGACGGGAGTAATTTCGTAACTCCATAGCTAAGTGTCCATTTTTAACGTTATTTAGGTCTCTTGTAAGGGTAGCGCTCGTTTATTTTTTTTCCATAGCTTTAATCGCCTCCGCGACTTGCGTTTTGAAGCCCGCGGAGGTCTTGTTTAATAATAAACGTCATTTTAGGCCAAAACAAAGACAGATAGTGAAGAAAAAAAGGATTTGTACAGTACTTTGAGTAAATATTCCTGACAAGATATTTTTTAAAGAGAATGAACAAGCCTGATTTTTATCCTCTTATAATAGAACCATACATCAGAGACCTCTAACCAAGTTGGGCGGTTTGGGCGCATAGAATTACAATTCTAATCCAATATCTATGGTGTTATAAATTCTAATTCTATGGTGTGGCCATGGGCCACTGCACTGTATGGGCTGGTCCTCAGCACCAGGGTACCGGATGCTGAGTGTGGGGGGAAACCCACCTAACCGCTCGCTCTCGTGCAAACTCGAAACTTCAGGTTTTTCACCAGCTTCTCCATTCACTGTTCACCCAACCGTATACAAGCTTTTCGTGGCGTCCGCAACATGTTCACGGCACACATCTGTCCTCCGAGACAACTGGAAAAATTCCTTACGAAACGGACTTGTTTTGTTTTTTCTTCATACTGTATATGACTGAGGACTCGGACACATTTTCATCTACATTTCTTGTTTAACACATTTAAAAAAAAAAAAAAAAGAGGAAAATATGTAGATTGTGAATTAAAAGCTCTTTTACCGTTAGCAACCTGAGGTGAATCTCTACACGCGCGTGTCAGAGGACGCGGCAAGGACTCTGCGCCTCTGTAGAAACGTTCTTTCTCTCCTGAAACACCTTTTGAAGCCTGCTCACCTTTCACCTCCGGCCCTTGTCGTCATTGTATGCAGTTGATTTTGTGAACGAAAGTGCAGATCGGTGGTGCCACGCGCTCGTCTGCGTGCGAACCTTGAGTGTGAGGGTGTTTGTGTGTGTGAGATTGTTGACGAGCGATTTATATTTGTATATTACTACTACTACTCTCCACAGGCAGTGGAAGCAAACACCTCCTCACGTCCCTAAGCTATTTAGCAGTCCTGCAGCATATCACATAGTACATTTAAGTTCTTTTTATTTACACGCATAAACTAATGGTAGATATTTTTTGTTTGTTGGTGTGGTTTGCTTATTTATAGATGCTGTCTTTTACATATTGATGTCTTATATTGTTATACGTGTGCTTTCTTTTGTAATGGAAGGGACTATAAAAGGTCAGGTTACATATTTTTAGACTAATAGACTGCCGGCAGTATTGGATTACATTTAAATGATGTACTTTTGATACATGTCTATTGATTAATTCTGAAGATTATCATTGTTTGATTTTTTTTTTCATATATTTTACTCTGTTAGTGAGCTGGATGAACATTTACTACGTTGACAAAGCAGAATTCTATGTATTGCATTAATGATTTTAATTAGTACGCATTTTAGATGTTTTAACAATTTTTAAAGATGACAATTCAAGATAAATTGCGTTTGGTTGTATTCACTCTACAAAGGCAGACCGATTGATGCTCTTGAATTGGGTTTTCAGGTAGTTAACCTGCGAACGTTCTGAGGTTACGTACGTTTATAAATCGCAATCAAGCTTAGTTGCTATAATGAGCCAGTGAACAACTGGTAGTTAACGTCACTGAAATTAGCTGTCGCTTTGAGTTGCACCTTGAGGAATTGGACTTTGTTTTTTTTGTTTGTTTTTTTGTTTTTTTAGTGGGAATGAAATTCATGTCGTTCAGTTGCGTTAAAATTTACGCCGACGAATCTTGAAGAACAACATCGGCTTAAAACTACCTTTGGCCTTTTTTATGTGTGCCAATGAATGATTCAAATCAAATTTGTCTTTTTATGACCTAACGAAAGCACAGAAGATACTTCATGAACCAATGTTTTTATCGGAATATTCGAATAATATGTCGAAAGCCCGTGACTGTTTCTCAAACTTTCTCTCCACGTCTAACATTGGAGTGCCTTCACTGAAAACTGTTCACTACTATAATCGCGTCGTCTTCGTTCCAAATAAGTGATTAAAAGTGTCGCGTGTCAGATCATACCACGTTTTAGCCATTTTCGCCAGCAAGTTTAATAATAAGGTCTCATCTAGTCTCAGGTCATAATGTTGTGTACTTTTAGGGTGTCTGTATTGTTTTATCTGAGAGAAAACAGCTGTCCCAGGATTCAGGCTTGGTTATTAAAAAAAAACAACGTTTTTACAATGGCTTCGATCGGTTAACTTCACATTTCTTTGTCCCAAATGTCGTTTTAATCATTTCTAGGCATTCATTAGATGTTTTCGACCATGTTATTGTATTTGAACTGTAGGATTCCCCCATGCTGGAGGAAGTTCACAGATGGATTTGGCATGTGGAAACTCTTGAAATTATTTGTAGACTATACTGTAGTGTGGACCAAATTGTCAGAACAGACAAATCAGCTTGTAAAGACTCTTTTCTGATCATGAACATGTGATTTCAATTGAACACAGATGAAGAAAAACACGTTTAGGAGCACATTCAAATCTGGTCTATATTAAGGACGCTTTTGTATGTCTGTCACGTTCTCACTGACTGAAACCGTAACCGTACTGTTGATATCATGGCATGAAACACTTAGAAGAACACTTCGAGTTTCCAGACGATTCTCAATGCAGATGTCCAGCACTTTTTCTCTGCTTTTTGCAAATATTTTTCTATGGAGAGTATTGCAGATGACTAAATAACACATCAACATACGACTGCACAGACAGCACGTTTATATGATTTCTTAAGAAAAAGACAAAAAAAGACAAACAAAGCAACAAAAAAAGATAATCATTATTGATATTACATTGGTAGTCACGAGTAGCATTATTGTAGATATTCGTCCGTAGCTTAGTTCGCTAGTGATGTCATAATTGTTACCTCGTTTATTCCCTCACACTTACGTCACTTCCTGAGACAATATGTTCTGAACAGCCACAGTTTGTTTCATTGTATCCCAGGTGGAGATTTTCTCTCTTTTTTTTTTGTTTTGTTTTGAAAGTTGTGTAATTGTGTTACATGTGATGCGAGCACGACGATTATACATCTGGCTCAGCGAGAGCAACACTTTAACCAAGTTATCACGATTCATTTCGACCAACAACCTATGGAAATGGGATGTCTTGATCATGACGTTCAGATCTCTCTCTCTCTGTTGTTGCTCTGTATGCTGTAATATGGGTAATATGAAGCCTTGTAATGAAATATGACAGGCAGCTCCCAACACAAGCTGGTATCCTATAGATTCTCCGTAGGTCTCTCAAAGCTCAGGTAGAACCTTGGTTTAGCACAGTCCTTTTGTCCATTAGTTTGTTGGTGACACTTTCCCTCTTACACCTGCTAACGACAGTTGTATGGTTTATTTTTCTATGTGTCATGGTTTTGAACCACAAGATGGAGCTGAATCCTCCATTTTACCTGAATAAAGACTCTTCCACTTTGTTCTCTTGATATGTATTTAGTTCGGTTGGTTTTTCCTTTGTGTATCATCATGTAGTATTCTGTTCCCAGCGCTGTTACAGTTATAATCCAAAATGAAAAAAGCAATATCACCGTTTGAAATTCATTATTATTATTATTATTATTATTCCTCATTACCACCATAGGTGTATTAACTGAAGTAAATATCTTTTGTACAAACACATTACCACTGTACTCTGCATTTATTTGAGTATTTCTGATGTCAGGAATTTGAAGCCATGTTCAAGCAGCACAGAGCATGTGCAAACTACATCGTTTGCATGATGTGTAAATGTTTTTATGACTACAACAGTTATATATACACACATGCACATTATGGGGACATTTTAAGGGGCCAAATTAAACTACAACATACAAAGGTTTCAAAAATAAACATGTACTGCTAGAAATACCACACTTCCACACAAACAGAAGATAGTTACTGAACTATTTTGAATTATTTATTTTCTTTCCACAGTATTCATATTCATCCATTTGTTTAAATAACCAGAAGGCACCTTTAAATTGAATTATTGTCATTTCAGTATATCTCCATAACCATTCCAGTTTCAGATTGAACCCACAGCTTGTGGTAACAGCCTACAACATCCTTAACAGTTCACCAACCACGGCTCCAGAACATTTCCACCATTCTTCCAAGTGACTAAATTACACTAATTTACTTCCAAGTGACAGACATTTTTGTACACAATACTTGTTTTTTTCTAAAACTTAAATTGGGCTCGGGTGAAGTGAGGCCAGACAAATAATAATAATAAACCAGTGCCTGTTTTTACCAAAGCCCTTTGTGCAAAATAATGCCATCAGTGCTTACTAGTGGTTTAAATGCTTATGCTCCATACCTACACAAATCATATTACGTTGAATACAGTTTAACAGATGAGATAGATACAATGGCATCCATTATGATAGATAAACCATTTTCAGACATCATATTACCTTAAACTAAAACATTTAGGATCAAATACTCTCGAGTCTGTCTTGTTTCACACACACACACACACACACACTCGAATCTATACAGGATCTTATTCGAATAGCTGAGTCCTGTTTTATTTTCTAAAATTTTATTTATAAAATAATATATTTTAATATTATAAAAAATAAAACAAGACTGGGGATGTGAGTAATGTTTTATTTAATTTTCAAATAGTGTGTATATATATATATTAATATAAGACTGATTTAGACTATTCTAATAAAATCCAGTATAGATTTATGATGGTTTTTATTAGTACCAATGGTTTTTAGCAGAGACTGTGGTTACCATGGTGTGTGTTGGGGTGTACAGTATATAACAAACCCTACTTCAGTAAAATTCTAACCGATTTACATAAGGGGTATATTGAAATTAGGAAATGGTTTTGCAAAACAAAAAAAATACTTTTTAGTTATTTAATAATATAATTATATAATATACGTATATTTTTATTATTAAATAACTAACGTTGTTTTTGTTTTGCAAAACCATTCCCTAATTTCAACATACCCCTTATGTAAATCAGTTATAATTTTACTGAAGTAGGGTTTGTGGCAACATCTGGGGGGAAAGGTAAATATGACATATCCGTACAATATGTTTGTGTCTGCACTTTTTTTTTTTTTTTTAAACAAAACCAACTTTTAACTGTTAAAATGTGAGATATGCTTCAAGTATCCCTGTATCTTCCTCACTTGCTAGACCTCAGGCTAAATAAGATAATCGCCCCCATAGCCAGCATCATCCCTACAGCTATCTCCTTCATCCTGCCCAGTTGTATATCCTCAACCAGCTCCTCCTTCTTCCTGATGATCTCTTCTCTACGCTGCCGGATCTCCTGCTCTCTCTTAAGCTGTTCTCCATAGTGTGATCTGATGAAGGCATCAAAGTCGAAGATGTTCTGCTGGGTGGCTCCAACAGACGGGGGGTGTCGGGTTCTGCTCTGCTGTCCTGATCCTGGACTCTCTCTGCCGGCGGGTTTGCTGGTTCCCTGCAGGTCAGCTTGACTCAGGATCCCACGGTCGTATTTCCTCCTCAGAGCTTTATTACCCAGGACGCTGTACGCCTCGCTGATCTGCGAGAACCTGAACGCGGCCTCTTCGCTCCCTGCGTTCTTGTCTGGGTGATATATGAAGGACTGTTTATAGTAGGCAGTCTTGATTTGTGCGTGCGTGGCGGTTGGAGAAACTTCCAAAATATCATAATAAGCAGACTTTGATTTGTATAATGAGCTGCCTTTATCCTGTGTGCCACTATAAGCTCTGGTTAAAGATATAAACTGCCATAAATAATCATTTGGAGGTCCATAAAGAGTATTTTTATAGATGGACCTCCTTAACTGGCGCTTAAAGTTTGTGCCAGTATGGCTGGACAGGAGAGGGAGTTTTCCACGAGTTCCCAAACACGAGCTCCTCCAGGAGGACACATGAACTGGAGATGCCTTCGAGTTCGATCCATGGCGGTCAGTGCATGTAACGTTACTAACATTTCCAGAATGGAGGTCCAGCGGCACTTTCACGCTGTTTGCATCGCCACAAGCACAGGTAAAGAGCGAGTTTACAGTCCCTTCTGGAGTCTCCAGAGCTGCCGGTCTTTTAGCTGCTTCCACTCGGTCATTTCGAATGTCACAGAGCTGTGGTGAATTTATTAAAGCTGCAACATAAGCTGCCGTTGAAACCGGTTTACCGTCTTTATCCAAAAGCGGGAGATATTCCGGTTTTAAAAGCTTGTAAGCCCCTCTCCCGAACCGCAGTCCGACCTCCGCCATTGCGCAGAGATCAACTGAAGAATGCATCATCTGTTTCCGCTCACGGCAAATTGACCAATCAGAATTGAGCTTCTTTTCAGGTTGAGTGAAATTTGGCCAATGCCGTGCGAGAAGAATATTTCCAGGCAAGAGATTGGTGGGGCGTTAAGGTTGTTGGTACATTATAATGATTACATAATAAACAGCGCAGATACTGTAGTATTAGGGTCATTACTAAAAATTCAGTTCCTTCTGTAGTTTTAAAAATGAAACCTATTTTTATTTATGTATGTATTTTAACTAGTAGTGGTGCACGTATCAGGACATAAAGTGGACAGTAACTCAATGGACACAATCATTTTGAGTGTTATTAATGCAAATAAATCACTACATTTTCGCAGATAATGTAATTGTATACATTTAATTGCATAGCAAATTCCTTTATTTCAGCTGTTCTGAGGACATAAGAAGCAGAAGAAGAAGAAGAAGAAGAAGAAGAAGAAGAAGAAAGAGCTTTATTGCCAAGTATGTTTGCACATACAAGGAATTTGTTATAGTGTCACAAGCTTCCAGTACACGGAGACAACAACAACACACAGATAATAAAAATGAGATGTGAATAAAATACACATGCATAAATATAAACCACAAAAACAGAATAAATTGTATGTACAGGTGTGCTATAGATGGAATAGGAATAGAATAAAATAAAATAAGTTGTAGGGATGTACTAGGGTTTAGGGTGATAAATAAGTATAAGGTTATTGCACATACTGTACTTTAATTGCACAATGGGAGAACATTAACCGTTCATGAGGTAGATTGCCTGGGGAAAGAAACTGTTCTTGTGCCTGGCTGTCCTGGTATTCGGTGCTCTGTAACGCCGACCAGATGGCAAAAGTTCAAAAAGGAGATGGCTTGGATGTGATGGATCCAGAGTGATTTTCTGAGCCCTTTTCCTCACTCTGGATGTATACAGTTCTTGGAGGGTAGGCA